GCTGAAGTCCAAAAACATCTGGGGTCCCAAGGTTGGGAACCACTGTTCTACACCAAAGTCCCCTTTTACCCTATCCCTGCTGGTGGGCTAGAGGAGGGTACAAGCTTTGTTTTGTGAATGCAGTATGCTGTTTTGACACCATGGATGCACTTCACTACATCTGATCATTGGCCAACATGGAACCAGCACAATCTGCTGCCAACTTTCCACAGTGCTCTTGGGAGCAGAAGATAACATGTTTCTCCTTTTTCTGCCAAGATCATGATGAAGCACCACAAAAGAAAACCAAGAATCCAGGATCTCAGAATCTGAAATGTTTTGAACAGGAAACTTCATTGTTTCTGACCCACCACCACAACTTCAAGAAGATCACAACGGGAGCTCTTTCTAAAGGAGGTCTTCCTTGTCCCCAGTACTTCACATATTCAGGAGTGTAAATTTAGCTTTGCAATGCATTATTATATGTAGTCTACATTCCAGTTTGGAAGCAATATTAATACATGCTTAACATGCTTTTCTTACAGATGGTATTATGTTAATGATATAAATACTCTGTTCTTGTTGTTTATAGTTTTAGTTTCCATGATACCTTTTAGACTGCTTTTGCTCCACTATTTTATCCATACACCAATGATAATTTAATGCAATTTAGGGAGCTTCTGCTTTTGCTCCACTATTTTATCCATACACCAATGATAATATAATTTAATGCAATTTAGGGAGCTTCCGTTATAACTTCACCTTTAAGAGACATGTGGATTTCCAGTCATGAACAACAAAGAATCAGTCTCTTTACTTTCTTTTTAAACAAGATATTGAATCACTTAATGCTCTAAAGCAGCCATTCTCAACCTTCTTTTCTCTTTTCTGTCACTATTTTATCCATACACCAATGATAATATAATTTAATGCAATTTAGGGAGCTTCCGTTATAACTTCACCTTTAAGAGACATGTGGATTTCCAGTCATGAACAACAAAGAATCAGTCTCTTTACTTTCTTTTTAAACAAGATATTGAATCACTTAATGCTCTAAAGCAGCCATTCTCAACCTTCTTTTCTCTTTTCTGTCCACAGGCATAAACACAATATGAAAGAAATATCAGCAGAATCAGGATTGTATTAGTGACACAGCAAACCTTATAAGGTGGTGTGTGAAGAACTGTGGCCCACCCTCAAATGTGCCAGGCCCCCCTGGGGTCATATTACCCCTGTTGAGAATGGCTGCTCTAAAGAACACTGGAAAGCCATTACTTGGATGTTTTTGAACTACAACTCCCAGAAACCCCAGGCAGCACAGTTGGTGGTGAAGGATTCTGGGAGTTGCAGTCCAAAACTCCTGAGTAACCCAAGGTTAAGAACCAGTGCTCTAAAGAACACTGGAAAGCCCCTTGAGCTTGGTGATGTCAATAATATAAGAATACAGTCGTGCCCCACTTAATTATTACCCCACATTACGACGAATCCGCTCCACAACGATGTTTTTGCGATCACAATTGCGATCGCAAAACAATGGTTTAAATGGGGTCTTTTTGCTTTGCGAAGATCGGTTCCCTGCTTTAGGAACCGATTCTTCGCATTACGATGATCAAAACAGCTGATCATCGGGTTTTCAAAATGGCTCCCTGCTGTGCTTAGGGATGGATTCCTCGTTATACAGGCATCGAAAATGGCCACCATAGGAAGGATCTTCGCTGAACGATGAGTTTTTAGCCCACTGGAACGCATTAACCGGGTTTTAATGCATTTCAATGGGTTTTTAAATTTCGCTTTACGACGTTTTCACTCTACAGTGATTTCGCTGGAACGAATTAACGTCGTTAAGCAAGGCACCACTGTAAATTACCTACTGATCCTACCACAACAAAACCTAAGAATAATCCACTCAAAGATCAATTTAAGCTGCATGATTTAGAGGAAATGACAATTCAAAGCACAAATACATACGCTCCTTGCAGTCTCCTCTTTCCTATTCTCCCAGGTTCCAGACAGAAAATCGGCCAGTTTTGCACACAGAAACCATGCTCACTTGATTTTTATTTATTTGTTTTATTTACAGACTGTCTCTCAGGAGATCCGTGAACTTTATATCTGCATTATCCTTCTTTCAAGTGGCATCCATGAAAGAGGTTAAACAGAGGTCCTCAGACACAGAAAAACGTAGTGCGTGTTTCTTTCAACAAAACTGCTGAACACGCATTAACCTCATAACAATAGTTCAGAATGCAGGAATAGTTTCTGCATTAAGTTTGGTCATCTTGTGGAATGTCACTAAGTCAGTTTCTGAGCTCAGAGAAAATGCAGTACTCTTGCCACCTGTCTTGTAGAATACAAAACCTGACAGCACTAGAAACTCAGGCTCTAAACAAGTCCCTTGATCTGAAGACCAACACAGGGCTCTGCAAGGTATCCTGAAGTAGTCTGGAACCATCTGTGCCCTGATTCAAGGGTGCCATACTCAGCACATGCAAACTAAGTGATTATTGCCCCTCCCATCTAACTTGACTTGTGCTCTGGATACAAATCAACTAGTAATTCTTTCACTTTGAACTAGAACCTAACCTGTCCATTCTATTTTAATTCAGACCTCTCATAAAAGCAGCCTGAATCAGGCCAATTCACTTGGAAATTGGGCTTTGTCTGAATGTGACGCACAACCCTACTACAAACATGAATTTCAACAGATAAAAAATTAATGGTGATCAGTAACAATGTTTTCTTACTAGTTCTTGGAAAGGATGGTACAAAGACATTGAATTGAATTCCAAGAGACTAGATCGTTTAATGGCAGTCCAATACACATGTTGTGGTTATGATGACATTAATTGATCAAGTGATGATTTTAAAAGGCAATTAAACTATCAGGAACTTTTGCATATCATTCTGAAAGCATTGTGCAATCACAAGCTTAATTAATCACATCTACAAATAGATGACATTATGCAAGCACTGAGTGACTTACTTACACGAGGGTTAGCGCCAGATATAGGTTCAATTTAAGTAGTGTATTTGAGCTTAAAATTCATCTCTATTAATCAGTATTCCCATAGACAAAAGCCCAGATACTTGCCTGAGAATATAAGGATAAAAATCCAACAAACCACAGATACACTGCCATTTAGACAGAACATTCAAAGATTCAAAAACACACCAATCTTTTCAAAGCAGGGCAAGTTCCCAGCAATCTCCACTACCCACCCATGGGATCATATAGAGATATGGCACCTCTCTGCACTTTTACAAGGACTATTTGAGTGCTTTTTAAAATATATGTTTTACTTGCCACCACCTCACATCAACTCCCCATAAGCTTGGCAAGGGAAAAAAAGCTTTTCAAAAAGAGTCGGGTTTTTTTTCATTGACCAAAAATTCGAACAGAAACACTGTGGCAATAAATACTCTTTAAAACAAAGCACCGGCTATCAATGCTAACGGTAGCTTAACAAAACAAAAAAGTCCCTCTGCCTTATATTGCAGTTAAAAATTAGATATGAAAATTATTCATAACCTGCATACTAAATATTAGATACCGTATGAAATAAAGTAACACTATAATCCCAGATACACTCAAGTATTTATGGTAATCAATATGCAAATAAGCACACCTGAAACTCTGGCAGCCTACATGTAGATTATACGAAAATATAGGCAATACTGTACTTAATTTTACCTACTAGCTATTACGTTCTAGCATTTCATTTCAGTTAAACACAAATGCTTATATGTGTATTTCTAAACTATGAACGAAAACCTTTTCAGCCTTTAAGCTATTGTTTCCGATTCTAATGAAATACCCTTTAACTTCAACATTTTAAAGTTATTTCCTCCCATTAAATACAGATCCTTACATAATCCACCATTATGGGTCCCAGTTCTGAGAGAAAGATGGGATGCAAACAAAAATAAATATATGTACATTAGCCAAAAAACAGCAATATCCTTCTCTCAACCCATCCAGAGTTTCCTACCCACTTTAAGATATTCATATCTAAACATAGTTGGTTGAACAAATAATTTAACAGTTTTTGTAGCAGTTTCTACTATGGAAACACTTTGGTGTTTATGAAAAAAGCCTATTGGGAACATCTTTGAAAACAGTTAATAAGCCCATTTGACATTGAAAGTCTTGCATGAATTTACAAGCAAACAAGTTCCCCCACCCCAGGGTAAGGCGAAATGAACTGGGATAACAGGGAATATATAATGCCATTCCATATTACATATTATCTGTACTTACACATATCATTACATTAAGAACGTTTGTATCAGTTGCTTATATACTTCCAACTAGAATGATTTGACTACAGTGGTGCCTCACATAGCGACGATAATCGGTGCAGCAAAAATCGCTGCAAAGCAATTTCGTCACTATGCGATATTAAAAAGCCCATAGGAATGCACTGAAACCCCTTCAATGCGTTCCTATGGGCTTCAGACTCACCTTTAAGCGAAAATCCTCCATACGCCGGCCATTTTTGCTACCCGGTAAGCGAGGAATCCATCCCAGAAAACAGCGGGTGGCCATTTTTTTTACCCGGTGGCCATTTTGGAACCGCCAATCAGCTGTTAAAAAATCATCGCTTTGCGATGATCAGTAAGCGAAACAGGGTACTGATCATCACAAAGTGATTTTTCCCCATAGGGAACACTGCAAAAAGTTAATCGCTATGCAATTTCGTCGTTAAATGGAGCGCCCATTAAGCAAGGCGCCACTGTATTTTGTATTAAAATTATTGCATTTGGCTTTCAGGTTATAGAACGGATCCAGTTATATATAGGGTCCCATTTTTCAGTTGCTTCTTGGATTGAATTGTCTTTTAAAGCTTCTGCACTGTTTTTCTGTTGCATGTTATGGTTGCTTGCCAATTCTCTTGAGTCTGGAATTATTTCCCCTGTAACTACACAATTAGAATTTTAGCAGAATATAATACTTTCCCTTCGACCTCAAGGGACAGTATTCCCTCCCAGACTAGCACAATTTCAAAACAATGAAACAGTACCTGCAAATGCCAGCATGTCCAGAAGGCTGGATTGGCTGCAATACAATCTGGGGTCTAGGAATCCGAGTCTTAATAAATCCAGATCTCCCATGCTTTCCAAATTTATCCATCACCTCTCCAGGTTTCTCGCTGTTGAGAGACGTAGCAGCAAACTCATCCGTTTTTCTTTTCAAAGAGTCCCACAGCAGGAGAAGCTCCTGGAACACGTTAGACTGTTCACAGCAGCTGACGGCACTGAACACAATGCTGCTTCTGCTGTGACACCACCCACTCTCATGCCTCCGGAATGCTGCTAATTGGACAGCAATATCTCCTCCTCCTCTCCCTCTCATATATACACCCAGCAAGAATAGAAAGATAAAATCTAGTCAACATACTCATGACTTCAAACATGCAGCCAGGCACTCATTCCAAGAATTGTCATTGTCTTGCGCCTGAAATGCATAAAAGGCTCGGCTTGTACAGGAGGCTTAAGGTGGAAAGACAGGACTGTACTGGTGTCGGGCCAAGCAGTTTGGATTCAGAGTTTCTGTCTGGTTCCATCTGATGGTTTATCTCTTATGGGCGGATGAGACACAAAACAGGAAATACCTGCCCAAACCTGGCCAGTCTATAACCACTTTTTTTGGTCCGTACAAACATCACAAGGGTACAGTTATTTTTGACAACTCAAGGGAGGGTCGACAGAGCAATCAGGTCTTTTTCTTTTTTAAAAAAGCTCAAGTATGCCTCCCAAGAATCATGGCATTATTAGAAGATCCAGAAGAACAGGGCTGAACACATGCAAACACAGGAACAGGTGGCTATCAAAGAATACTTCTGAAAACTGCTTTGAGAGCTGCGCTCTGTGAAAAGAATATTACCACTGATCTGACATAGGTTTTCTGTTTCAGTCACTTGAATACAGGACCCAGGCTATGTACACACTAATCACAATGACTTTCACAGTAGAAGCAGCCTGAAGATGGCAATCTTCTCTTTTATTAATACTTTATCCACCTTATTAATACTCTGCCCCCCAACAAGCCTTCCACTTTTTTTGTCTTTAAACAGCCTGAGAGGTTACACAGAGAAATTATGATAATACTTTATCTGACTTGTCATACTGGGTATACCTGATGTGTATACCTGATACCACACTGTACTAGAAGAAATGGGAAGAGAATATATTTGTCCTCATACATCTAAAATAAAATATTATGTAAGACAGACAGAAAGATATTGTATGTGCATGCACACACATATAACAGGATTTCTTAATTCTAGGCTTGACCAAATACACCCACATAATGAAGTCATAAAATGCTGAGGTAGTAGAAATAACTGCTGAGTCTTACAGCATGTTAATATGACATTTCCAATAACTGATGAGGGTAGCCTATTGCAAATGTACTCTGTTGCATGTGTGGGGAAAGGCTGCAATCCTAAATTCACTCATTTCAACAGCAGTACTCAAACAGTGCCCTTCCAGATGTTGCTAGAGGCTGAAACTCCAAGCATTCTCCCTCATTGCCTACACTGGCCCCAGTTGATCTGAGATGTAGTTGAACAATATCCAGACGGCTGAACACTGCCCGCCCTGCGACTAGGGAGTAAGCTCCAAAGAAAGCGGTAAGAATACAGTGGGGTCTTGACTTGAGAACTTAATCTGTAT